ATGTTTTGTGGCTTCCTTTCTTGTCGTATCGTATGTGAAAATGTCTTGTTGATGAGATGGTGTGAGTGTGTTTTGTTCAGGCTGTTGATAACCTTTGCTTGCATAAGCTGGAAGGGAAGCTTTACGAACGGATTGAGAAAGAGTGTGAAGAACACATCTCTGCAGCTTTACAATCTTTAGTTGGTCAAGACACTGATCTGTCTGTTTTCTTGTCACTCATTGAGAAATGCTGGCAAGATTTTTGTGATCAGATGCTTATGATCCGTAGTATAGCCTTGTCTCTGGATAGGAAATATGTGATACAAAACCCAAATGTACGTTCGTTATGGGAGATGGGTCTGCAGCTTTTCCGGAAGCATCTTTCTCTGTCCCCTGAAGTTGAGCAGAGGACTGTTACTGCTCTATTACGAATGATTGAAAAGGAAAGGTAATTTTGTAATACTCCGCTCTTTCAAAAATATGGGAAACAAGGTTAATTTTGTCACATCGGGAATTTATCTTCATAATGCCACCGTTTACTTTATGTCTGGTTTCTGAGTGAATCATCGGATGTTTTGGACAGTCTATGAACTATCCCTGTCTAGCAGTGATAATTAGTTATAGTTGAAATTCCAAGGAAATTGAGCACTGTTGTAAGTCGTTTATATATTTGGATAATGCTTTCAGCTGAATTTATTGACCTTTCTTGCACGGTATTGGTCCTGCAGATTAGCTGAAGCTGTTAATAGGACACTACTAAGCCATCTTTTAAAGATGTTTACTGCACTGGGAATATATAGTGAAAGCTTTGAGAAACGTTTCCTTGAATGCACTTCTGAATTTTATGCCGCTGAAGGAATGAAATACATGCAGCAGTTTGATGTTCCCGAGTACCTGAAGCATGTCGAGGTGCCTTGCATGACTTCAGATAGTTTCTCCTTATGATAAGCTGTTATTAGTTGATCTGGTTTCTCTAATGTTTATACTGATGATTGGTGCAGGGAAGGTTGCAGGAAGAGAATGAAAGATGCATACTGTACATAGATGCAGCAACCAGGAAACCATTAATAGCAACTATTGAAAAGCAACTTCTCGAGCGTCATATACTTGCTGTTCTTGATAAGGTTTAACTCTTCTGCCATACTTGTGGTTGCGTGAATTTTAACAATTTTGATTTGCTTTAAGCTTATTTGATCTCTGAACATCCCCCAGGGTTTCACACAATTAATGGATGGCCGTCGTACCGAGGACCTCCAGAGGATGTACAACTTGTTTTCTAGGGTCAATGCACTTGAGTCTCTGAGGCAGGCGCTAAGTTCCTACATTCGGAAAACTGGGCAGAAGATCGTTATGGATGAAGAGAAAGATAAAGATATGGTACAATCACTACTGGACTTTAAGGCTGCTCTTGACATAATATGGGAAGAGAGCTATTGCAAGAATGATTCATTTGGCAACACCATCAAAGATTCATTTGAGCATCTGATAAATCTTCGCCAGGTATTGAATATTTATATTCTTGGTGATTGCCTAATCTTTTGCTAACAATTTTAGCTTCATATAAAAGCAACATGCTGATTATTGTGGAAATGTCAACCTCATAATAACAATGCTGCAACTAAGGAATTTATAGCAATCTAGAGATTTTCATTGCTGTTTTTATGCACTGTATTGCTATAATTTTCTTTGGCACTGGGCATAATTTAAGAATCCTCTTGATAATAGTTCTCATTAGCTTTCTGCCCTAAGTGATTCATCGTCTCAAATCTATAGAAGTTTCAAGTTTGAGTGTTAGCGTGCGGCCCGAATAATAATATATACATCTTATGCTCCTGGTCTGTTTTGCAGAACCGGCCAGCTGAGCTTATTGCCAAATTTTTGGACGAGAAGCTCCGTGCTGGGAATAAGGGTACTTCTGAAGAAGAATTGGAGAGTACTCTTGAAAAAGTCTTGGTTTTGTTCAGATTTATCCAGGTAGATACTTAACATCAATTAATGTATTTTGTCTCTGTTAATAACTGCCTTCAGGCCAATGCCCGGTCTGAAAACAAGCTATTTGACCATATGGATATCAGTTTTGCTGAAGGATTTCCATAATTTTTTAGGGTAAAGATGTGTTCGAAGCATTCTATAAAAAGGATCTTGCAAAGAGGCTCCTGTTAGGAAAGAGTGCTTCAATTGATGCCGAGAAATCCATGATCTCTAAGGTTGAAAATTGATTTAATTTTCTGGTTGTTTCTCTTTCTCACCGAAAAGTTTTCTATATCGGTAAGTTCTTACACACTAACCCAAACTTGTTGTCACCTACAGCTTAAGACCGAGTGTGGTAGCCAGTTTACAAACAAGCTCGAAGGGATGTTCAAGGTCCTCTTTCTTTCTCCTCTCTTTTCAAAAAAGATGTTGGATTTAAGTTTTATCAAAGGAACAAACAATAGGTTCTTATGATTTTATTATCGTACTTTCTGGAGTTCTATACTTACAATCTATCCTAGTATTCATATTCTTTGTTACTTAATCCCAAGTCAGGGTGTTTACTAGTCAGCAGCTCTAATCTTAGACAAGATTGTTGGATGATCCTGCAACATACCTACTTTAAGGAACTTGTGTGCATGAACAACAATGATAATGAGCTTGTACTCATTGTTTCCTTGAAATTTTATCCAGGATATTGAATTGTCAAAGGAAATCAACGAGTCATTCAAACAATCATCCCAGGCCAGAACAAAACTGCCATCAGGAATTGAGATGAGTGTCCACGTTTTAACAACAGGGTATGCACTATGTATCAAAATTCATACAGGATTCAACTGCTGGAATACCGGATAGCATGACATATTTATAAAGCTTGTTTTAACCTTCCATGCATAATGCAGGTACTGGCCAACATATCCACCTATGGATGTTAAACTTCCTCACGAATTAAATGTCTATCAGGTTTTACCACTAGTTCTGATATATTTTTCCTTTCCGCAATGGGTTTTTTCTTACAAGCTTTTTTCTAATGTATATGTTTGTTTCGTAGGATATCTTCAAAGAGTTCTATTTAAGCAAGTACAGTGGTAGGAGGTTAATGTGGCAAAATTCACTAGGTCACTGTGTATTGAAGGCAGATTTCTCCAAAGGTAAAAAGGAGCTTGCTGTTTCCTTGTTTCAGGTCAGTCGAATTTTTTCTTTTTTTCCTTTTCAAGCTCTTTCGTTCATTCGTTTTGACTTTTATTTGTCTTCCTTGAGGTTACAGTATGATTCCATTGCTTAGAAAATGTGTTGTCTTTTATTGTCACAGGCTGTTGTGTTGATGTTATTTAACGATGCAATGAAACTTAGCTTTGAAGACATTAAAGATTCTACTGGCATAGAGGACAAGGAACTGAGAAGGACTTTGCAGTCACTTGCTTGTGGGAAAATTCGTGTCCTGCAGAAGGTTAGGCCAAAATCTGGACTCTGTTAACGCAAAAACTGCTGAGATGGTGGCTTTGTTTATTTTTTTGCTGTATTGATGCAAATGTTCTTTGCAGTATCCAAAAGGAAGAGACGTACAAGACGGTGATGAATTTGATTTCAATGACAGCTTTACAGCTCCCTTGTATCGCATTAAGGTACATAACTTCAAGCTTCCTAGGTTCTCGTCACATTCTCTTGATTCCTCTATAGTATATGATGAACCAAATTATTATATTTCTGGGATTGCAGGTGAATGCAATCCAGATGAAAGAGACAGTAGAAGAGAACACAAGTACAACAGAGAGAGTATTCCAGGACCGACAATACCAGGTTGATTTCTGCTCCCGTTTCGTTTACGATACTGTTTTTTTTAGATCTTTCTTACAATTTGGTTCCTTAAACGAGAGAAGATTTGACAAAATGACTTTTTCCCTTCTCTTACAGATCGATGCAGCCATTGTTCGAATTATGAAGACAAGAAAAGTCTTGAGCCATACTCTTCTAATCACTGAGCTCTTCCAACAGGTAACTTCTTCCTATTTTCTTAATAATATTTAAAACCCTGAAATATATTACAACGGAACTATATGGGACTTGATGGAAATATAATGGGCTATGTATCTCGAGATGACTAACCGGAGAAGTAACATGTCAGTTAATGAAAAAGAACCATGATATTCGTTACTCGGTCCAACCCTACTGGTTATGCACTCAAACCTTGACCCTTGTTTAATGATGAAATATGTATATACTATGCAATGTATGGATTATGTTTTGTGATTTTTGCAGCTCAAATTCCCAATAAAACCGGCTGATCTGAAGAAGAGGATCGAAAGCTTGATCGATAGAGAATACTTGGAGCGGGACAAGAGCAACCCGCAGATATACAATTATCTTGCTTAGAATCTGTCCGGTAAAACACTTTTTCAGCATTTTCATCTTTGTATATTTATTGACAAACAATGGCCGAAATTTTCCTCTTAATTTGAAAAATGAAAAAGAACTCGAGATTCCGATTATCATCTCGCCTTTCTGCTTGATTTGATGTACAGCTCCAAAGTTCCCCTTCGTTCACTTTTCTTTTGTCCTCTGCTACTCTGAGCATTCACTAGGTTGATCTAGGTCACTCATTGTCTCCTGTTTTCTACTACTTAGAACTTGTTGTTTTCAGATTCTTTATAGTCCAATATCTATTCAACACCAACCATACAAGTCCTTTTGTATTCTTAATCAATTTAACAAAAAAATGAAAGACTGGCTAGAGTAAACATATAACTAAAGAAATGTTACATTTCATTGGGTTTAAAAGGTTTTAGATATAGCATCCCATGTTGTAATCTTTTCGTTTTCTGGTTACTTTGTTATACCCTCTCATTTTATTTAGAGAAATTACACCAAGTTTTGGATAACTTTAACTCTTTATTTGTCCTTAAGGGGTTCTATGGTTCAAAATTGTTTCATATACTTAAAAAACGGAACTTTTCTATTTTGGTAACCAATGCAAACCCTTCAAAAAAATCATTTCTTATAAAAAAAAAAAAATACTCTTTACCTTG